TCCATGTATTTATCCATTTATTTTTCAGGTGAGCGGACAGATGTTGGGTGTGTGGTCCTGTGTTTTCTTGGTGTGTATTTAATATATTTCTAATCTCGATTTCAATCTTTCTAATTACTTCTCTCTCTGTTTTTCCCTCTTTCTCTATTTTCTCTTTACTTAAAAAAATCACTGATGATGAAGAAATTAAGAAACTAATATTAAGTTCTTTTTTGTACTGAAGTGGTTTAAAAAAAAAGAAATGAATTTTTCTGCCTGTGAGAAAGAGGATGATGGTGTTTTTCACTGAGCTCTGCAGCCATGACTCTGACAATCCAATTCAACTGAGCTCAGAACGTTTACTTTTCTCTATTTATACTGGATGACAGCTGAAAGCAAAGTTTGAATGAACCAACACAACTAACCACTTCCTGTTTTAATGATGAGCAAACTGGTGTTTGTTGATAGAATACTTTTTATTTATATTAATTCACGCACTTCTTTATACTTTAATCTCTCTCTCTCTCTCTTTCTCTCTCTTTCTCTCTCTCTCTCTCCGACCCTCTGCTCTCTTATTTCCAAACCAAACAAAAAGATTCGGTTAGTTGCCTTCAAACCAAACATTGTTATTTTGGTCCACAATCCCAACTCAAACTTGTATTTGTCAAGAATAAACSCAGKGGCACAAACTCATCAGGAGCAGGAYGTGTTATACGTGTCTCTATAGAACAATAAAAAGGACTAAAGTAGCTTYTTACTGAGAGACACTGGAATCATAATAATAGAAAATCAGTTGCTGCTTCTACAGAAGCGGAGGAGGATTTCTGAAGCAGTTTCTCATTTTTCCTCGTCTAAAAGTCAGGGCTGTTAGTTTTATAGTTTCCTAACTTCAAAGTTCTGTTCCCAATCAGAGACCAAACTGCTGTTTCTTCAGCCTTGCAGCACAGCTTCTCTCATCTGTCAGCCATCTGCTGACAGCACTAAGCAGCAGCTCGCTGCATTTACATCCAAACTTAAAGCGAGAAAACGCCTGATCTGGAAACTTTCTATGAAGTGATGTTTTAAAATTCAGATTTGGCTCACAGCTTTAAGGAAACTAATTAGGTTTGACCATATATATTTTTGTAAACATCTCCTTGTAAATGGAAAAAGCTTCAAGTTATTAACAATAAGGTCTTTCTGAAAGTTATTTAAAATTATTTTTCTTTGGTTTCCCTGTTGTTCCACAGTTTTACAGAAAGGTACTAAAGATGTTGAAATGTTGTTTCGATAATAAACTAGAGAATTTGCATTTTCTTGTGAAAATACAATGTGCATGCTTAATGCTGAAAGCTGCTGAAGGTTTATCACCTGAACCGCTAAGTCAAGTTGATTTTGAACAGCTGAAAATGTGTCAAAAAAGCTTAACAGAGCAGAAATGTGGCTGAAGTTAGAAGAAAAATAAACCTTTTCAAAAATGTAGCATAAAAAAACAGAAAATAACAAATTAAAATAATTTTATGAATAAAGTTGAAATTTAAACCAAAGAATGTTAAACATGCAGAAAACAATAAACAAATGACCTTGACTTTTTGTTTTTGTTAATGAAATTAATAGGGGTTATCTCTGAAAAATCATTGTTTTCTGAATTAAGCAGCAAGAAGCTAAAAGTATCACAAAAGGTGAATTTAGCTGAAAAAAGCTAAAATTAGCTTAACATTAACTAAATGCTGAAATTATCAAAAATGAAACTGAAGGAGCACATAGTATTTGCTGAATTAAGATGAAAAAATCAGAAAAGACCACCAAAACAAGAAATAAGCTGCATGATGCTCAACTTGAAAAAAAGAAAAAAGAAAAAAACATCTTAAGAGTAGCTAAACAGTTCATATATAATAGAGCACAAAAAGCTTAAATTAACAGCAAGAAGTAAAATGAAGCTAAAATGAGCAAAAAGAAACTAATATCACACAGAAATTAAAAAGGAGAAGCAGAAAAACAGGTGAAAAGTGAAGTCAACATTTTAAAACGTTTTAAGGATGTTGAAGACAGCTCCGTTCCTTTCAATGAGACAAAAATGTCAGTTTAATTTAAACATCTCAAAATGTATAAAATGATAAAATACCAAAAGTCATAACTGGAATGCCCTGAAGGAGCCAAATGTTTTTATACATAAATTGTTGAAATAACCCAAAAATTACAAAGTGAGACGTGTGCCAAGAACGTACAGAAGAAAAATGGATTAATAAATAAAACTCACTTATTTGTCAAATACTTTTTAAAGTGTGACAAGAATCATTCAAAAGARCTGGTGCTGATGAAACTTCTGGGTTCACCTCAGCAGACATGATCATCACTGTAKCCACCTTACCTGACTGTAAACACGTCTGTGGGGGAAAATATAAAAACTTTAAGACCTCACTTTGTTTTCCACTTTCAGAACTACTATACAAACTTTCATCAGCTCGTGAGTCTAATGTTGATATAAAATACTCAATTAGCACATACTTTCTGTGAACAGTCGTGCTCACTCTGTTTACATGAAGACTATTCAGTCCCCTCCAAAATTATTGGATCAAGTCAAATWGTTGTTTTTGTTGTACACTGAAGACATTTGAGTTTAAGATCAAAAGATGAKYATGAGACAAGAGWTCAGAAMGTCAGCTTTTATTTCCTGGTATTTACATTAAACAACATTTTAAACAACATAGGATATATCACCRTTTGTCTTACACCACAGCACTTTTAGGTGAGCGAAACTATTGGAACATGTGACTGACAGGTGTTTCTTATTGTCCAGGTGTTGCCTTTAAGGTTGMTTGTTCAAATATTAAATAGCTCTGCATGACTAGTCTGCTTTTGGCCTGGGTTTAAAACTATAAAGAAGGTATTTCTTGTTATGGAAACATGAAGACCAGAGAGCTGTTTATGGGAGGAAGGCAAGCTGAAAAAACAGGAAAAGCAATCAAAGCCATTGAAAAACATTGGGCATAGCCAAACAGGTCGTCCAASGAAAACAACARTAGTTGATGACAGAAATATTATGAGAGCTGTGAAAAAGATAACAAACAAAACAAAAAATCATCATCAAATGACATCACCAACAAACTCCACWGTGCAGGGGTGACGGTAACGTAATCCACTGATCAAAAAAAGACTCTGAGAGCAGAAATGTAGAGGCCATACACAAAAATACAAACCACTCATCAGTAACAAGAATCAGAAGGCCAGATTGAAATTTGTAAAGACGTAGATGAGCCGCAAAAGTTCTGAAGACAATCTTATGGACCAAGATTAATCTTTACCAAAGTGATGGAAAGGCCAAAGTGTGGAGAAGGAAAGGAACTGCTGATGATCTGAAGCACAAGCTCATCTGTGAAGCATGGTGCAGGTAATGTCATGACTTGGGCGTGCATGGCTGCTTCTGGAACGGCCTAAGTAATATTTATCGATGATGGAACTGATGATAGGAGCAGCAAAATGAATTTTGAAGTGTACAGAAACATTTTGTCTGCCAATTCATGGACAAATGCATCCACACTAATTGGGAGGAATTTTATCATGCAGCAGGACAAATGACCCAAAGCACATTGCCAACAAAACAAAGGACTTTATCAGGGGGAAAAAGTGGAAGCTTTTTGATTGGCCAGGTTCATTACCTGACCTTAACCCAACGGAGCATTCATTTCACCTCCTGAAGAAGAGACCCCCACCCCCGAAAGAAACAGGAATTAAAAGAAGCTGCAGTAAAAGCCTGGAACAGCATCACAAATGAAGAATGCAACAGTTTGATGAGGGCAATGGGTTGCAGGCTTGAAGCAGTCATTCCAAGAAAGGGTTATGCCACCAAATATTAAATGTTGTTTACTTTAAGATAATTTGCTCCATTAATTTTGCTGACATAAAAAATGCTGTTGTGAAAACATATTGTGGTTAAATACATATGTAAATACCAGGAAATAAAAGCTGACATTCAGAACTCATGCCCATCTTTTTTTAAAACTCAAATATCGGGGTCTTTGGCACTGATCTCCCTTTTGTCGGCTTCCGGCTTTGCGGGTCGCATCTGTGGTCCCCCCACACTCACTTTGAAACATTCCACGGGAGAGATCCATGCATGCTCACAACTGCACACAATCAGGTGTTTACATCCTGGGTTTTCTATTCGGGCACTGACGAAGGATATGTGCATATGTGTATGTATGTGTGCATGTATGTATTTGTATGTAAGTATGTATATGAAAGTGTTTGGATATGTAGGTAGGGGTATGGTTGTGTATATATTTGTATATGTAAATGGGTATGGTTTTCAGCAAGGCTTAAGTCATTATAATTACATAGTTATGCATTTTTGTTGCTGTGGTTTTGCTATCTTTGTTTTGTAGGTGTGGAGCCGAGAAGTCCGGTGTGCTGTCTTGTGTTTTCTCAACATATAATTTACTTATCTTCTAATCTCTTTTTCACTCTTTCTCAATGCATTTCACTTTTTTCTTTTTTCTTCTTTTTCTCTTATTATTATAAAAAAAAACATAATAATGGTGTGGAGAGGATGGCTAAAGGGGGAGAAGGGAGGCCATAAAAAAAAATAAAAAAAACTCAAATGTCTGCAGTGTACAACAAAAACAACAGAATTGGACTTGCTGTTCCAATACTTTTGAAGGAAACTGTATTTTTCTGACMCAAACTAAAGAAAATGCTGGCACGAATAATGTTCCTTACTACTCATACACATTCTTTAAAATATCTGACACAATCCAGGATTTGTGATTTGAAATATACTTTTATGTAAAAATATGTCATGTTTAGATTACCTTAGGATTAAATGTAACTGCTTCTTTTCTCAGTTCTGCCTGCTTTTTATGTGCTGCCTGCATGTGTGAATGGAAAACTACTTAGGATGCAACAATTCCTTCAAGAAGAAGAAAAAAAGCTCTGAGTTGCGGTTTTGTTTCTGCAGGCAGAGAGGTAGAGACATTCCACTGCCACAGGCCAGTTTCCAGATGGAAAGTCTGGATCCCCTCCCACCTCTTCCTCTGGTCTCAGAGCAGATTTTGTGCACATTTGCTGCCTTTGACTGAGTGGGTCCAACATGGCGTCCCAGCAGCTCTGGGTGAAGTTAATGGGGGTGGCTGTGCTGCTGACACTAACAGCTCTTAGAGGTAAAAACTGTTTTATTATCCCTCTGCTAGTTTTGTTACTTTACATTAATCATAAATTAATTCTGTTTGAATAATTGTCTCTTTCTGGTGGAGGGCTGTCTCAGTGGGAAATATCTCTATGTTCTTAGAAAGCATAAAACCTATTTAATAGAAAAGTTTTTTAAGATATCTTGTTTTTTTGTCTAGTTTCTGCAAACACAAACAGCTTCATCTTTAATTTAGAAGAGCAAATGCAATAAAAAATTATATTTAATCCTGCCAAAATGTCTTACAAAGCTATGTTTTCCATTTGTGTTACTTTAAAGGAAAAATGTTAAGTAAAAACTTTATTTATTTTATAAATGAAAAACAAATCCACTAAATTCAACAATGAAAAGTCAGAGGGAAACATTTAGATGACATAAGCTGGTGTTTGAAATAGATGGACGTTCAGAAAACTCAACACTTCAGTCGACAGGTCTATCTTTTATAGGAAGTCAAGAAAAGTAATAATTAATTAATTAATAAAAACATTTAAGAACAATTTGCAATTCCTATGTAAATAATTTAATATGTGCAACAATTTGTGACACGTTTTTTTTTTCTAATAAAGTGGTGCGGTTTGAAATAATCTACAATCGTTCCCATGTTTTGTGAGTTTGCAGTTTTGAGCTGAAATTAGCCTTTTTTTTTGGTCATTTTTTCATGTGAGCCCAAAAAAAGTATAAATAAGACCTAAGCTCAGTCATGTACAAAAATTGTTTTTTTGTATGTGTGTAAAAGTGTTGAAAGATATTTTACATGTTCCAGACTGAAACAAGAGATTTAGTGTCAGAAGTTAAATGCTGCCTGCAGGTGTTTTGAGTCCAGGTGCAGAAATCAAACTTGCGTTAGATGATCCAACGTGTCTGGACTGTTCATAAAATGTTAGCATAAAGGAAAATATTTCAGTAACATATGCTTTGTACCTGCCCTCAGGAAACACGGTTCTGGCACCAGAGCTGGAAATTCATGCTTTATTAAAGCTAAATGCTCCAGCAAATGACATTTCGTTTTAAAAGACGTCATCAAATCGTCCCAACTTATTGTGGATTCACACAGCCACGGGAGAAATGAGTGAATTCAATGCAATCTTTTATATTTTTAAATTATAAACCTCTGACGCCAGAGGTTCTCTGAAAAAAAAAAACATCTTAGAAACCTGTCCTGACTGTAAAGAGCTCACTTCCCTTCATCCTGAAGGACACATTTTCCCAGAAGTCTTTGAACATTCTTGTAATCAACCCAATTGTCAGAGCAGATTTCTGCAGAACTGAGTGACTAATCAATTAAATTAGGATTCTGTTTGAAGGAAACCTCTTTAAAAACACAAAGATATAAATGAAATAGATTGCCAAAGTGGTCGAGAAAAGCAAAAGAATAATAATAATGGAAAGATGGAGTGGTCCATGCAGGCAGAATCATGAATCAGAAACCAGGAGGGGAACTGAAGAAACATGTTTCTGATTCTGAGGATTGTTGAAACGATTCTGACATGCAGAAAATTTCACTGCAGATGGTGCAAATAACCACTTTTATAAAATACATTTCTTTGCAAGTCAAGATTTTTAAAGTTGTGCACTTAATATTTCAGCTTTGACTGCTCGTGTGTGTTTGAGTGGTATTCTTGWACCTGTCAGTCAGCAGTATATCTATGAGTTGAGGAACAAGAGAAATGAAAACTTTAGCAAACACTTTTTTTTGTGCCGTTCTCCCTTCAGAGTCGATCAATAAAAACTTCACAAAGAAAATGCCAAGTCAATAAATCCGACTGTGGCTGCTGTGGTTCAGTCTGAACAGAATCATCAACTTGAGTTTGTTAGAAAGTGAGCTGCTAAAGCTGGACGGCTTTAAAAAAAAAGTCTACATCCAATCAAAGAAAGGTCACTGTTTAGTCCTGAAGTGCCCTTGTAGTTGTAGTTCAGCTGTGTTGTGTCATTGTGGGAGTGAAATGTTACATCATCATCATCATGTTTGTTTCCATCATCAAATTATTCATCTGCAGTTTTATTTCTTTAGTTTCATATTTTTAACTCCAAACTCAGTGAAATTAATTTGTCAACAAACAGAAACACTGAAAAATGAATTATTAATATCTAGTGCAACAGATCTCCTTCAGTTATGCAGTTTGTGTTTTAAACGGAGCAAAAATAATTATAGAGTGTATCTGAACAATAAAACTAAAATTAAAAGTAACACTGCTGTGATAACAGCATAACAGCGAACATAAACTTATTTCCTTAGAGGCACACCGGCATCTTCTCTTCTTACCTCTGATTTCAGAATGACATCATAAACCACTGCACGAATTAATCTGGTTAATAAAACTCACAAAAGTTAAACTAAAACAATTAGGTTTTCAGTGCTGTCAGGTTTCTGAAAATCAGAGTGGAGGTTTGATTACCGTTATGATCAATAAAACTGTTGTATATTTTTTTAAAATTTGGTTGCTTTAATACTCATTTAGTTGCATTTGATCAATCTGTGTTTTATAATTTACCCTTAAAGGGATACTGGGAAGCTCATAAACAACTAACATCTTACCTGTTGTAGATAACTCTTTGAATCACCTCAGCTCAGAGAAAAAGACAACTGATGGTTTTCTAACAGCTTAAAACTTAATTTAAACACAAACTTTAACAAATCTTTACACCGCAGCTGGTTTTGGATTATATGGTTTAGCAATACGCTATACTGGGCTCAAGCTGCACATCTGGTGCAGGAACATCAGTACTTTTGTCAGAATAAATGTACAAGAGATTGATGGTGATAAAGTTTTCTAAATAGACAGATGGAAATGATCTAATTTGGTCCTGCTCAGACCAGTGTTTAGCTCATCAGTCTGGTCAGAAAGTCTCTTTATCCAGATTGAGGTAATTCAAAGAGATGTCTAACAGGTAAGATATTTATTGTTCGGAGCCAGTTTGACTTCAGACTCATTTTGTTTTGACTCCTCTGTACAGATGCATCCAGTGACAACCATTTACTCAAGATCTTAAAGAAAAGAGATGGTAACTTCACTGAAACATTAGTGAAAGAGTTGTTGTTAAATCTGTTTTCTGGTGCAGACCTTTAACTTTTTTGCATCATTGGTGAATTCTTTCCATCCAGTGGCAGAAGCTGGTAGTGCTCCATCAAAGTCTGCTGTTGCCATCCCTCCTTCCAAGGCCCAAGAGTTCCTGGCGAAGCTGAGCAGAACCAAGAGGAACCTTTGGGATCGCAGCCGACCCGACGTCCAGCAGTGGATTATGCAGTTTATGTCCATGGGCTACGACGAGGCGGTGAGTCCTGCCTGTTCCAACAACTCAAATACTTTTGGCAAGCAGGCTTCCACTGTYTCGTTCATTAGAAGTTAGATTTAACTATAATGAGATTTGACAATTTAAACAAGTGACAATTAAAACAAAAAGGAGTTGGAATTTTTGGTTGATGGATACATAAACCCACTAACTGCTGCTAGTTTCTGAGGGGGAAAGGTGATACCTTGGTTTTTAAATATGATCAATAAAAGCAAATCAAAACCACATTCCACACAAAACACATTTTCAGTCTTCATCTAAASAGCAGAAAGTCAAGAAAACGAGTAAACAAAAATCTGCTCTGGCATTTTTAAGGCATTTTCATCTCCAAATGTTAACATKAGTGAATGAATAACGAAAACATCATCTCATCTTTCACACATGCATTTAAATCTGTCTCTTCCTGTCACGTGTTCACTTGGGACAGAAAGGACGGCTAATGAAAGCAGAAAATAACCTCCTGCTGCATCTCTAACATCCTGATGTGTTCCAGCTGTATTTCTCCCACATTATTCTACGACACCTTGTGCATAWGCCATTTAACCGTCACTTCCTTAGAAAGGTCAAAGCTGTCAAAAGATTGTCCTTTTCAACGTCTGACTTTCATCTGCGTCCATCAGCCGTAGTCATGCCTGCTGTCAGTCTTATCGAATGCTTTTTTTAAAAAATATTTATATAYACATCAGTGAGATTTGAGTTTTTAACGAGTATATTTTCTCTCCTTTAGAGGTTGGAGACTGACCTCCAGTACTGGATGGACCACGCTCGCTCCAATGACCCAGGACGGCAGCATCATTATGATGAAAACTCCCCCATCGGCCCTCGTGACACCTCTTCTTACAGACACGGCGCCAACGTCAACTACGACTATTATTAACTCCAAACACACACACAGTGTGTTGCCATCACTTGGGAGGAAATTAAATTGACTTTCCAAGTAATGCRATGTGATAGTTTTCTTTTTTTACACCTGACAAAGTCTTCACAAGTGTTCCCATCTTATTCGTCTTGATTACACCCACATGTGTGAACGCCTGTCTATTTGAAACTGAACTAATTAAATCACCTTCAAATCTACGTCTGGGTCTCTGAGGGTCTGCACGTTTACAGACACCAATAAACACACAAATACTGTCAATTTCATTCACAAACTATTAGAAATATTTTATTAAAATAGCATTTTTACATCAATAGAATAGCGCACATCCTTAATTGACATTTCACAAACAAAATGGCTTTGATGACCATAATTATGTGGCAACAGTTCTTGAACATGGTTTGCCTGGAGCCTGCTGTGCGCTGCAGGGTACGGTCATCAGAGCTGGGAGTCACGTCCAGTGGAAAGCAACAAACCAAGGCAGCTCATCTTCACAAAACATAAAACTGATTTTAAAAAATTGTGGATGCAGAGTCTGAGCTGCTTGCAGGTTTCTCACTGAGGTGCATTAAATAGCAAAAACACAAAGTTCAAATAAAAATGTAGGCTGGATTTCAGGATTACATTTGTTGCCTCCTAGATTCAGTCACATAAGCTTCAGGAAAAAAAAAAGAAAAAAAAGGCCTCACCACAACACAGCTGCAGCTCCATCACAAGGCAACACTAGCTTTAAAAAATAAAAGCTGAAAGAAAACCATGTCTTCATCTTTGATCTTTGTTTCTTTTACAAACAGGAAGTGCACCATTCCAAAAAGTGCACCATTCAGCAGCGTTACTCCAAAGAGCTGCTCCTCGAGGAGTCTTGTGTTTGGGGTTTTGTAGAGGAGTGTGGRGTGGGGTGGTTTCAGTTGTGTCGGGGTCTGCCTTTCTTCATGCGGGCGGCTTTAGGTTTGGGGATGTACTGGTTGTTGGCCTGGTGCTCCAGCTCTCTGCTGAAGTACTGGATRGTTTTATTCAAGCCTTCCTCCAGCGGCACCTGTTCACACAACATGTTTATTAAATAGTTATTTCAAAAATTATAAGACAGTCTGACTTTTGCATTAGAYGGTTTACACAATTTACACAATTAAGGCAGCAGAACCTTTATTGGCAGGGTTGGGCAATATTGGCAAAAACATATTGGTTAACTTTTGTTGGCTGTGTGTGCAGCAGAGCTCACATTACTTTATACARTCAGAAATGCCTCATTTGTCTTTGTGTGTTTTACCTCAGTGTCACTGCAGTAAAGAAACCGCAGCAGATTGATTCTTCAAGGGGTTTCACATAGGTCCAATATTTAGATTGTTTTAGTTTACAACATTGCATATGTTTAATGCAAAAAAAGACAAAAACACAYGTAGTATTTATGGCAGGACAGCCAGAACTACATGAGCAAATCAGACGTTTTGTTATTCTACACAAACATTAATCAATATTAATTGTGGCATTTAACCAATAAATGAGGATTAATAGGTGACTTGCATGTTTTTGACTAAATCAGTGTTGTGTTCTAAAGTACCTACAAACCAGTCAAAATAACATCCTTTTTTCAACAAGATAARTTMGTAAAGGCCCTGTCACACTAACATTTTAGACAACTTATGAGAATTTTCTTTGTATAAATCACTAATAAAAGTTTGATATTAGATCAGTTTGTTAGCATTACAGTATGTACACGCCTAAAAAGGCTTCCAGTTACTTTTTTTTAATTCCATGTCATGCCATGTTTTATTCAATGTCTTAAAAGTTTTCAGAAGTTGACATAAGTTGTCTAAAATGTTATAGTGACAGGGTCTTTTGTTGTGAAGTGAAACCCACCTACCACAATCTGAAGTGGCCGTATAGTTTTAGTAACTCAACACAGGCTCACATGCGCTCTTGATAGGGAATGTCACACATAAAACATCATCATCATCTGTCATTAACTGCATTAATTGCAAAGTGGCAAATATTGATTGATAGTTTTTCATGGACACAATTTAATATTTCCCAACCCTACACACTGGTCAGTACATGGTTAATATGAATGCCAGTGGAATGTATCAACTTTGACCTGTCAGAAAAACTATCTGAAGGCTGTGTAAAAATCCAAACATTTACAGTGTTTATTGATTTTCCACAATTGTACTTTTTCCTAAATCGTTCTGATAGCAAGAAAGGTTTATTTCTCCTGGTTTGTATCTGGTTACTGCAGACATTCATTGGTGTAAAATTGAACAATGTAACTATTTCTGTAACTTTTACAATAACTGGACTCTCCAGAGAACCTCTGATCATCCAGTCTGATGTTGCTCTGAGTGATTTCTACTACAGGTAAAATACTGACTCTGCACAATATCGCTTAAAAAACTGAACTTTTTTGTCTGAAAAATGTCAGATTTCTTTGTGATATTTCAGAAACATTTGTGAGTTGTAGCAACAACTTGAGTTTGTAAAACAGACCGGTCAGCAACTATTTTCTTCTCATCTAACCATCTTTATTTCAAGCAAATAAAAATGTAATGCCATTGTAAATGTTAACTTTTGTTGTTTGCACATCTTTATGTAAATTTAGCCGTAAGAACTTAACATCAGTTTAGTATTTTCCAACTAATTCAGTCTGAGTTTTTCTTTGAGATTCTTTCATTTTTCAGTAAAATGTAAYAAGTGCAGATGAAATGTGAAGCGCTCAGATTCCTCCAGCTGATTGTGGTGCATCACACATACCACTGGCTCCCAGCCGAGCATCATTTTGGCTTTTCTGATGTCAGGTCTTCTCCTCTGAGGATCATCCTGAGCTTCTGATAGAAACTGGATCTGGCTTTGGCTCCCTACAAGAGATCAACACACTGAAATGACTCTTCTGTAGCGTCAGCTGAAACTAATAGAATGCTCCTGAGAGAATTCTGAGACAATTAAAATAAATCATGTAAGAATTTGAAACTATTTTAATTGTTCCTCTTTGAAGCACTGAGGGCTGTGCTCTGAAAGTTGGACCAGAGATAAACATTGCTCTCTTACCAACAAGGCTTTTGATGAGGCGAGCGAACTCCAGTATGGTGTGTTCTTCTGGGTTCCCCTGAAAACCCACCATTTCATTACATCAGTGCAAACAAGAAAAAACACACCTCACTGTTTGTTGGACAAAGTATGATGAACTCACCAGATTGACTGGACTGCTGATGTTACTGTTCATCAGCAACACCAAGCCGTTCACCAGATCACTAGAAGCAGGAAGGACACTTCACATCAGTGAAAATCACTTTCAACAAGAAACACTGAAACTCATGCTTGAACAACTTGTAGGGTTAGTTCACTGGAATTACCTTTCTTTACAATTACAGTGAACAGAGGCTGCTGAAGAAGTTATCAGTTATTTTTCTATTTATTGTAAAAAGCTCTTTGAATTGTCTCAGTTCAGAGAAATTAAGTTTGATTCTGACTTGTGGAACTAAGACCAAATTAGACAGAAGTCACTATAAAACTCCTCCCACTAAAGAAATGACAGCTGTTTATGCAAATGGTATTTTATAAACCTTTTTTTATATTTGTGTTGTTCTAAGATGGCAGAGATCACCTTTGGTCTCAACCTAACTGGTTGCCTGATCATAATTAAAACTATTTACCCAACACTCATTCACATCAAAGAATTGTCTACAATAAGTCAGATATTATTTGTTCATAACTTTTTCATACAACCATAAGACGACTTGTGTTCTGGTTTGAGTATGGGATGAAATTTTCTGTTCGACACACATGCTTCAGCTCAGCATGGACAGACAGCTAAAAGTGCATCTACATTTTTAAGAACAACAAAAGTTTCCCAATAAACTGATGGCATGAAAACTAACCAGAACATCATCAATGTCAGACACAGCTCTTTTTTCTCTCCATCTAGTCAGTCCAATTTGACCGTACACTTTCACCCCTCACAGGGAACAATTAAACTAGAAACTGAAGATSAGGGGAAAAAAACTGTACACTGACCTTGGCGTCTCGTAGCATTTTACCAGCCTAAATTTAACTGCAGAACAGATTCATTCACTCGTGAAACACTAATTTATTCTTAAGAGACTGTTGAAAAAAGAAACTACCACATTTCTTGTGGAGCACTCAGTTCAGATATTCACAGCTATTTTTCCAACAAACTTATATGAATTTAATATCACAAATAACGGAGGATGTTTGACACCAAAGGGTTTTTATAATGTTCCTTTGTTGATGTTTCACTCAGAGCTGAATAACTTTTAATCAACAGAAGCAGAGGCTCAACAGGAACTGTTACGGCTCYGTGTGCAGCAGAGCTCACATTACTTTTTACAGAAATGCCTCATTTGTCTGAGTTTTACCTCAATGTCACTGTAGTAAAGAAACGGCAGCAGATTGATTCTTCAAGGGGTTACACATAGGTACAATATTAAAAAAAAATTTGTTTACTTTCCAAACTTGTATAGTTTTAATGAAAAAAAAAAAGGCAAAAACACATTTAGTATTTATGGCAGGACAGTCAGGACTATATGAGCAAACCAGATGTTTTCTTATTCAACACACAAGAGGACTTTAAAATGTATCCAAATCTGACATACCTCCATGAAAATTAACAAAATAAGTTTTATTCTGTTCAAGAGAACAATTTTGTAAATGTGATATTCCCCCTTTTTTTTCTGAACATTCTTTTAATTAAAAAGAGAACTTTTAATTTTTGCCAGTAAGTGAAGATTTTTTTTAAATTTATTTATGTTTAGGGAGGCAGAAAATCTGAATGTTTTTCTGTGTCAGCAGTGAAAGAAATAGTTTGTTTTTCCAAAGGCGTTCGAGGTTTTAAAGAGTTGTTCTTAGGGAAAAGTTCAGCCAAGAACATTTTACTAAAACCAGTGGTGATACATGGTTTCATGATAAAGAGACTTCAATGCTTTGTTTCTTTGATTTCTCTATTACACTGAAATGAATCACATTCTCATCAGAAAAACAACCTGATAACGAACGTTTGAACTCAGAGACACCTTGAACACAAACACATTAAAAAGATATCACCACCACCCTGTAAAATGTCTGTTCAAAAAACACTACAATGAAATCAAAATATTTTAAAAAATACTGTACTTTTTAATGTGGTGAGACTGAGATGTGAGGATATCAAATTAATTAACAGGAAGTAAAAACCACAGCATAATAAGATGACAGTTTTTAATAATTAACATAATTCTTATAAACTATAGTAACTGGTATTTTATTAGGATGTGTTTGAGATTGAAAACAGAAAGGTTTAATATTCACCTTACATACTGGAAGGCTCTAGTTTGGGAACCAGCACCATACACCTAAAATAACAACAGATGGAATATTATTGCCATGTCTTAAAAWATGTATTATTCTTCAGAAAATAACCTGTTTAAAGGGCTGAGTTACAGAACATTAATATTTATCAAATTCATGAGGCAGCACAAAATCAGCAATTTGGACTAAAACAAAATCTTTGATGTGTGTCTCAAGCAAAGGTTGAAAATGCATACAGTGAGAGGTTCTCCTTGTAGAGCCTGAAGGATGAAGTTACTGACAACACGTCCATCATTCATGTGCATCCGGGAACCAAATGTGTTGAAGATTCTGGCCACTCTCACCTCCACTCCTTCCTGCAAAATGGGCAACACAGCTAATAAGTCCCAGGAGCTCTGCTCCTGCAAAGTTCAGATGCTCTTTGTTTAAGAAAAGAAAAACAACCTGCTGACGCCCAAATCTCAGAAGAAAAGAAAAAAACATTTTCTTCTTTTCCCCCCCCTCAGGTTTCTTTACAAACAACTGATTACTTGCTAGGGAAAAATCCTCTGTATGAAAGAAATGACTGCAAAATACCACTACTTTATACAGTATCGTTAAAAATAAATTCATATTTTTGCCTTAACTGCATGGATTACTGCAGAAAGCCCAGTGGTGATAATTCAGAGTCKGTAATGTAAATTGAACCAAGCAGAATGTTATTAAGAACAAAAACAGAAAACAAAAAATCATTGAGGCCTCTTCCACAACGAATACTCAGAAGATGTAAATACTTCCTTCTCACGGCCTTCTTCAAGTCAGCCTCGTGCATCATAACACGACACTTCAGATGCAAATTGGACAAATATTCAGTGATAAGCATGAATGAAACATGAAAATTATGTAGATTTTTCTCTTGAAGCCTAAACTTCCCAAGACTCAGATTCTAAACATATTCAGTATGGTGAGGGTCCAAGGACGCGATGTGGACATGATGATGATGAAAAGGTCTCCGGAGAGCCTGTGGTCAAACACTGTATGCAGATGATGGTCTGCTGCACCATACAGATGGGTTAATGTTTTTAATCAAGTGTACAAACCTCTGTGGTCATGGAAAATTTGCTGTTCGTATTATTTTTTATATTAAATATTTGAAAGGATTTAAAGGAGGAAAAAAAATCTGTGATTATTTTAAATAATGTGAATCAACCATTAAAGGAGAGCTATTATGCAAAATTCACTTTTTAAAGGTTTTTTACTCAACTTTGGGTATTTACTTCTTAAAAACAGTCCTAGGACCAAAAAAAAAATGCAACCAGGGGCATATTTACTGTAAGTAAATGTATTTTTATTGTATATTAACGACAAGTTTTATACTTCCGTTATTTTGTGATGTCACAAGCCGTACGACAACCCACCAGAACCTGCGTTCAACCCCCGGGTGAAACTCCACCTCCTCAGTATAAWAAACCATCACCGTGTTGTTATGCAATGTGCAGCTCACTTGACAACAAGCCTCCAATAGGGCAATGGGTAGAGTGTTGGACTAGAGAGTGGGAGACCAGTGTTTGAGACTGGTGCGGACACAATTTAATTATTTATTTATTTTTGTTCATTATGAACACATTTTCTCATGTACCTCTATTGTTTAGCTTATCAAAGCCTTGTTAAAGCCTATTTGTTTGAGTTTCTGAGGTATTTTGACCGCTGCTGCTCCCTGCTCTGGTAACAGAGCACAGAGCAGAGGAGGGGGAGGGGAAAAAAAAAGAAGCTGGGACCATAACTTGGCGTCTGGATCTCTCATATGATTGTACAACGGAGCTTCTGCTATTATTAGCCATGCTAACGTAAACGCTGGCTTTGGAGGGCGGAGTTAATGTCAACAGATTTTTGGAGGGCGTTACCAACAGAGCTCATTAACATAAACAGCTCTTCTGAACTGGTCAGAGCAGGCAGAACTAGAAAATGGGAAATTTTATTATCTGAGAATTATTTTGTGCATTAAATTGAATGAACATGGTCTGGATAGCCCACTGACATACCATAAAAATTTCTAGGACCCATAATTGGTCTCCTTTAACAGATGATCTCCAGGTGCCAAGAGACTGAGAAATTACTCCTGGGCACCTACTTGCATACTACATAACACATTACTGACATTTAATATTTTAACAGAAACATGTTAGATATAACACTATGACCTTTAGTCTTAAGAGAATAAAAAAAAACATGTTTTACAGACAAAGCAGTAGGCTGAAATAAAGCTTGTGTGTTAGACTGACAAATACTAATAAACATTGATGTAAATGTCAAGGTCTTGGACTAATTACCGGGTTTTTTAAAATATTTGTTGGAATGAATGAATGAATAAATAAATAAATAAATAAATAAATAAATAAATAAATAAATCCCATACCTCTTTTGATTGATTTTGAATGAGCCTCTACCTGGAAGTGGGTTGATACAGTTCAGCCCTAATATCTAAAGACTGTGACAATAAAACATAATAAATCACCTGATGCCTACTGGTTACTAGATCATGAATGGGATTTGTTTGGTTAAACAACAGAAAAATAAATAAAATAAATTAAACTACATAAAAAACATTTATACAGGTTTACAAATGGTCACGCCCTTTTCTAAATCTTTTACAATATAAAATCAAAATAAATATGTTGTAATTCTTAAATGTTTCGGACTAAATCAAGTTAAAAAGAAAAAGCATTGATAAAGTAGTCATTTAATTTAGCAGAACAACTATGTGTGACACATGATTTATGTGCTTTACATGTTTTACTTCTCAAACACAATCTGCCATTGTTGGAAGAATTCTACTGAAAAGCACAAGGTTCAAACATCATCATCATCATCATCACTTGCATTCACAGTTTACTATTAACAAAAAATGTGCAAGTTGTGCTTTTCCTCTTGCATAACCTCCCACTAACCACTTTTAAAATGTTAATGAAAGCTGATTTTATGGCGAGACAGACAGTTGATGGTATGTGTGATATGTGTGTCCTTCTGCACAACCGACTGACAGATGAATTTTTTTTACGATGGCCATGACAGAAAATTATTTCAGCAAGTGTGAAAAAAATAATGAGCTGCTGAAGAAGAGTAAGAGACAAGGCAGATAAATAAATATCACCTGCCTGCAGGAAAGGCAAAAGGAGACAATCACATCTGATTATTAAAGGCTGCTGTCAATCAAGTCATTATCAGCGAGGCTTTACAGAACTGAAATCATCATGAGCTTTACTGAAAACCATTTATCTCCACTGATTTATCAGAACTACATTGTCCTTTTGTTCAWAAAAAAGTTGTCCAAAAATCTGACTCTTTTCAAATATGTGTGCCTAGTTTGTAAATTTTATTAAATTGAAGTCTCCAGAATCAACCACATCTGCTGCAACGCTAAGATGTCATGAATAAATGTGTGACAAAACAAAAACAGCAAATTCAACAGCTTGGAGAAATCTTGCAAAGAAAAACTCAAGTGGTTATTTTAATCACACCTAAAATCAAATCTAAACAGACTGAATTACTTTTGTTGGCAGGGAAAAGCAGAGAACACACACACACACACACACACACACACACTAGGCCTGTCACGATAACAAATTTTGCTGGGTGATTAATTGTCTCAAAATTTATTGCGATAAACGATAATATTGCCTGGTGACCGTTTTACAACTAATAATTATAAAAGCATAATATGTAAGTG